AACAATGAACTTAAGGACTACCATCAGTGAGCTGTTGGACAGTATTACTTGGTCTGTTGTGTGGATGTTTGTGTGTTTTTAAGAGGCGGGGAATTTTGGTGGGTGGGGAGGTGTTTGGGGATTGTCATGTGTGTGTGTGTGTGTTGAATCTGGTCTCTGGGTGTTATGTGAATTTCGTTGTATGTATACTGTATATATACATACAATGACAATAAAGAATTCAATTCAATTCAAAGGGTCACTCAAGGAACAGTCATAAGTCAAAGTCTAGTTGTATTTCTTTTGAAGTTTTGCATCTACTTTATCATAGTTTTAATTTATTCCACCTGTTTCGTATTTCAACCAACTTATACAGTGTATACACCCTGACAAGTGATCTTGATTTTTTAAATAAATATTTCAAATTCTGTCAGTTTTCTCAACATCTGTACTTTGTTGAGATGACTTTTTATTCCTCCAGAAATGTACTTCAATCATTGTACATTTTTAATAAGCAGTTCTTTCTATGTCTTCAGTCTGTTTCATGAGTCTTGATACACTATATTGGCATATGTGATTACATATTTCTTACAGTAGCTGTCTGAAATAAAAGGTATTTGATAATGAAGCTATTGGATAAGTCACCAGACTTAATCTTGTTTTAAAAACAAGGGATAGAATTGTTTCACTCACCACATTAATGCTATACATCAGGGGTGTCAAACTCGCGCCCTGTGGGCCAGATGCATCACATGCAGGCCATACCACCCTGACTCCACAAAGGCAAAAAAATGTCATGATACGTCATGTGACTTGATCTAGTTTGACACCCGTACTATATACATTGTCCATAAAGCATGTTTGGCTCCTCTCTGGATAGTACTATTTTATAAATTCCTGTTTCTGGTAGACTTTCACCTGCTAAAGTTTATTCTGTTTTCTTCAGTAGAGTCTGTAGAATAAGCAGTTAATGCTATTACGATTTTATCACATTTTGTTGAATTTACTATTTTTGATTTTAAACTGTTGTAAGATGCTATTCATTAGACAAGACTCACATTTCAATATCGAAAAAAATAATACCGGTACCTCCTGTTCTATCAAATCATTCTTTCTTTGTGTGTTCTATGGTAGGTTACATTGGAAGAAATTACATCTGGTTTTGCTAACATAGCTTTTTGAACAGTTCTAGCATGTGAAATTGTATTTTCATTTTTTGATAGCATTGGAATATCTTTTCCTATTTGTGTTCATAAACAAAACAAGTTTTTCCTATTCTATGAATCTAATAAAATGTATTGATGCCAAGGTGTTTCTGCTCTTTCCTATGTGGCATACTTCTGTTCCTTGGATTTATTTTGACTATTTTCTGTTCATGTAGACATGAACAAAATGTTCTTTGCTTGACCTAATTGAGGTGAGAAATGTTCTACAGACAAGCTAATCTGTAAACATTTTAATTCTCCCATGAGCTGTTCAAAGCATCCAGTGATGGGAAGGTGCTTCAGTCCCTTCTAGGAAGGCTGGGCTTAAACTTGAGGACACTCCTCCTCCTCCACAAGACTCCTCCTTAGTGTCCCCAGTTTTAGCTCAGCCTTTCTTCAGACAGGTTGTGTTATTGTTTTCCTGGTTGGAACAGAACACTGGTGATTTAGCTGATTTAGCTGATTTATTTCTCAGGTCAGGTAATACCATAGTTTCTGTCACCAACCACCCCCCTGGTAACCTCCACACAGGCTCGAACACCAATGGCACCGCTTGGGACATAAGAAGAGCCTTACGCATCTATATAGAGCGCACGGCACCCTCCAGAAAGACAGAAGCCCTCTTCGTGTCCTTTCAGCCTAACACCCTGGGGCGCAAGGTTTCACCCTCTACCATAGGTAGATGGCTAAGGGCCACCATCGTTAAGTCGTATGATTCTCACTCGTTTCCAGTGCCCCAAGGCATTACCGCTCACTCCACTAGGAGTGCAGCCACCACAGCAGCATGGGAGACCCAAGCTACAATAGAGGAGATTTGCCAAGCTGCAACCTGGGCTTCTCCATCTCCATTTATTAGAAATTATAAAATTGACGTATTTGCTTCTGCTGAGGCTTCATTTGGTAGGCGAGTTTTTCAGCAAGTTATTTCAGAGACAGTTAGGTCTGCAACCCAGACGGAGTCCCTCCCTTAGGACAGTGCCAAGCTTTGGTATGTCCCATCACTGGATGTTCTGAACAGCTCATGGGAGAAAGGGCATTGGTACTTACCTGATACACCCGTTCTCTGTGAGCTGTGAAGAGCATCCAGCCCCTCCTTCTTCTTCCGTCTGGTAGGGGGTCTGTTCCGGCCAGGGTTATTACATAGGCTTAAGCATATAGGGTATCAATACCTTGGCTTTGCAAAACTGGGGACGCTAAGGAGGAGTCTCGTGGAGGAGGAGGAGTGTCCTCAAGTTTAAGCCCAGCCTTCCTAGAAGGGACTGAAGCACCTTCCCATCACTGGATGCTCTTCACAGCTCACAGAGAACGGGCATATCAGGTAAGTACCAATGCCCTATCTCTTTTCTACTCTATTGCCTTTGAGATTATTTAGCAATGGAGTACTTTTAAAAGCAACTTTTTAATGTAAAATTCTACAGTATCATAGCCCTATTAGACATCTGTCATCAAGTCCTTTTTTAGATGTTCTGTAAGGGTTTGACAATATACAATAAATTTTATACAATATACAACAAATTTTACAATATACAATAAATTTTTATTGTTTAAACACCAGACCATATTGAAAAGTTATCAAAACAATACCCAAAACACAGTAAAACATATTCATACTAAATTACCACCTGTGCTGTCATACTCAATTTGTTTTAGCTAGGCTCTCTTCTTCATAATGATCTTTGATATGAAAACCGCAGCCTTCCTAGCAATATGCAAATTCATTCCCTATAAGGTGTGGCTCTTTATCCTGATTATCCCAGTATTTCTTAGTTTTTAAACAAGATTCTAAGTAAACATCCATTTCCCCAGAATATAGTTTGCAGTTATACAAGATATGTATGATACCTTCAGAAGCAGGTGCACCACCATATAGAGTCTTTCTGCAAATGGAACTCTATGGCAGGGAACCCCAACCCCCAGACTGTGGCCTCCTAGTGGCCCATGCAAGCTGTGTGCACGAGTGCAAGCCGTATGCAAGCACGAGGGCACGTGCGTGCAGCTGCACTTGTGCAAGTGGCGGGTGCTGGCTCTCACCTGCGAAACTCCATTTGTGCAAGCAGTGGGCGTGTGTGCTTGTCACTCACAAATGGAGCTGTGTGCACACCTACCACTTGCACAGAATTATCTCCTCCCCCTCCTGCCAAGCCGCCAAGCTCTATGGAATCTGTCATATCTTCATTGTTCAAAACATGTTCTAAATCTGTTCTAAAGAAAGCTCTTCTAAGATGTGGGGGCATATAAATGATTAAATACTCTGAAGTATTTAGTTTGAAAGAATGATTTGTATCAAACCAGCTACTTCAAGGTCTTAACATTTGAACGTATTATATAATCTTAAGGCAGTATCATCCAAACTCTTCCTTTGAAACTTTTCTCAGCCTTCAGATTGGAGTGGACTGGGAATTAGACAGAGAATTAATATTGTGATATGGTATTTATAAAGTTGGGCAGCCCAAATATCAGGAAGATATATTAAGTGCCTGCTCTTCAGAGTACATTTTGGGTAGCAATAGCACTTATATACTGCTCCTTAGTGCTTTACAGCACTACCTGAGCAATTTACAGTGTCAACGTATTCCCCCAGAAAATCTGGGTCCTCATTTTTCTGATTTCAGAAGGATGGAAGTCTGGGTCCACCTTGAGCTGGTCAGGATCGACCTTCAGGCTGTGGGCAGATTTAGTGTGAAATACTGCATTCTAAGCGCTGTGCCATTATGGCTTCTATGGATGAGACAGATTACTCGCCACTCCGGGTAATCTTTCATCCATAAATAAGGTCTCCACTCAACAGTTGGATATTTTAATTGCATGGTGACATTGTATAGTAAACTTGGTTCAGCCATTACTGCTGGAGTTGGCATGGATTTGCCCACCCTTTAGAAGCATTTCAGGTTGATGTAGTGTGTCTGTTTCAAATAGGGATCATTTGTCCCTCTAGCTCTGCATCATTTGTAATCATTTAAGCTATTTTCATATTGTATACTTTGATAATTGAAATTGAAGAGCCAGGGTAGTTTTGATTGGTCAGCGCCTTAGGGTACTAACTGTAGCCCTTCAGTGAGTTCCTGGCTCTCATTGACCTCTTGAAATGTGGGAGGCAGGAATCCATAAAAATATTGTCTAAGTATGGGTAGGACCTAACCTGGTAGAATATAAGAATGGAGTAGTAGATGGGCAATTCATCATATCTGATATATTTTCAACAAACGCTTTTTTTATATTGTTTTAAGGCAGGGGTGTCAAACTCGATTCCATTGAGGGCAGCCTCAGGGTTGTGTTTGACCTTGGAGGGCTGGGGTGGGCATGGCCAGCTTGACGTCATTCGTGTCAGGGGAGCCTGTGGTAACACAAGTCTCTGCCAGCAAAAACGGGCTCCTAGTCTCCATTTTCAGCTGCGACAGTTTCTTGCAACCCTCTGCCAGCAAAAACGGAGTTCGTGAGGGCCACGTGTGCCCCTCCCCTCAGCTCCATTTTTACTGTCAGAGGCACCATGGGGCCAGTTCTTTGCTGTTTCCAGGGCAGCCCTAGGGCCAGATCTAAGCACCCCAAGGGCCGGATCCAGCCCACGGGCCTTGAGTTTGACATCCCTGTTTTAAGGTATATAATGAACAAGTTACTATTTTAAAAACACTTTTAATTTTTTTGAAACTGTTGGCTTTAACATTTAACAACATTAGAAGATCACTAATTGAACTGGATGAATAAAGGGATGCCTCAAATGTTTTGGGAAGCAACATTGTATATTTATATTCTCTGTCATAAATCTGTATTGTATTCCTTTTAATGAAATGGTTACTGATTCTGATGTTTATTTCTCAGCATATGCAGATGACTATTCAAGCTCTTCAGGATGAACTTAGGATCCAGAGGGACCTGAACCAACTTTTCCAGCAAGACACCAGCAGTAGATCCAGTGAACCGTTTCTGACAGAACTAACAGAAGAAAACTTCCAACGGCTGCATGCAGAGCATGAGCGCCAAGCCAAGGAACTCTTCTTGCTACGCAAAACCCTGGAAGAAATGGAGTTGCGCATCGAGACTCAGAAACAGACCTTAAATGCTCGTGATGAGTCAATTAAAAAATTACTGGAAATGCTGCAGAGCAAGGGATTGTCTGCAAAAGCCACCGAGGAAGATCATGAGCGCACAAGAAGGTTGGCAGAGGCTGAAATGCATGTTCATCACCTGGAAACCTTACTGGAGCAAAAGGAAAAGGAGAGCAGCTTGCTCAGAGAAGTGAGTTATTCACATAATCCATCTAATCTTGTACAGTTTTTTCTTGTTTTATCTTTTGATAGGAGCAAGCATTTGTAGATTTTTCTAACTTGTTTAAAGACATACACAACTTAGTCTGGAACCTAAATTTGCCTGAGTTCAAATTGGTTTCTTGTTCATAATTCATTCCAACCTCACATATCATTTGATAAATTCTATGTATAGGAAGTTGGGGATGTATCTGGGAATAATATCAAAAGTATCCAAAAAAGATTGGAAACTGAAATTTGAAATTTTGGATTGTGAATATCCATATATGTTTAAGCCTGGATTCAGACATTAATAGGGTATCAGTCTAGAACTTATCTAAAAATAGAATAAGCAGTAAAAAGTAAAGTTTATGAACTTTACTTTTTTGTTCTTTAGGAATTCATTCTTGACCAAGAAAAATACTGGAAGCAATCAGGAATTTATCCTATCCTTATACAATAGCAAGTCTAATCTGTGTGTTTATAAATATAGCCTACCTGAATCATCACAATCTGTACATTATTATTTGATTTGATTTTACCGGGAAACTGTAAAATGATTGTGTACTTCTATTTAAAAAAACAGAAATCTGGGCAACAATAAAGAATGACAGTTCTATAGTTTCCATAGAAACAATTACTTTACTATGAAGGACATTTGAAACCATTTACTGTTTAGCATCATGTTTCAGGTGGAGTAAGCATTATATTCTTCATTGATTTTCATATAACTTTATGATTAAATTTATAAATTTAAGGCAAAATAGCTGAATTATTTTGGACAGAACACATTCATATAAACAAAGTCAGACATCCATTATATAGGCTTTCTTCATTATATATCAGAGGCTTTCTTATAAAGAAAACTTGCATTCCAGATTTCTTTTGTAGATAAGTTAAATGATGTAAGGCGACCTGACAGCTCTATGGGAGGTATACAGGCATGTAGGCCTGTAAGAGGGTGCTGAACACTCTAAACCAGGGGTCCCCAACCACCGGTCCGTGGACCGGTACCGGTCCGCGGAACAAGTCCTACCGGGCCGCTGGCTTGCTGGGCGCCGCCATCTTTTTTTGATGAAAAAGTGCTTCCGGTGAGCTTTTCCGGGTAGAAAGCTCACCGGAAGCACATTTTCATCAAAAAAAGATGGCGGCGCCAGCGCTTCCGGTGAGCTTTTCCGGGTAGAAAGCTCACCGGAAGCACGTTTTCATAAAAAAAAGATGGCGGTGCCAGTGCTTCCGGTGAGCTTTTCCGGGTAGAAAGCTCACCGGAAGCACGTTTTCATCAAAAAAAGATGGCGGCGCCCAGCTGATGCCGGTACTGGGCCACGGCGTAAAAAAGGTTGGGGATCACTGCTCTAAACAATAAAAATATTGAAGGAGACTTTTGAAGAATGGAATCAGAAAATAGACTCAATATGAACAATGTCAGTAATGGTCTCTGCTTCTGCGGACAAACTAAATCCAAAAAAATGTTATTGAAGAAATGTGGATTTATAACTGACAGTCCAAGAGAATGTTTTAGAAAAGGTTGTTTCATTGGATGTACAAACAAATTGACTGAGGCTTTACAATTCTCTTGGACTGTCAGTTATAAATCCACATTTCTTCAATAACATTTTTTTGGATTTAGTTTGTCCGCAGAAGCAGAGACCATTACTGACATTGTTCATATTGAGGGAAATATATACATTACAAACCAAGAAAGTGATTTGAATAATTTTCTACTGAAATTACAAAATAGGCTTCTTAAAGCCTTGAAGAATTCTTTGTAATAGGACAAAGAAGAAATGAAGTTAAATCAAATTGCACAACAATATTTGAATGAACTAAAATTACAACTTCTAAAAGTATAATGAAGGAATATAAAGTTGATTTATTTGATCAAGAATAAAATAAGACTTGTTGTTACAGTACTCCTGGCTCCTAAATAGATTTTACAGCTAACACCAGGACTGAAAAATTATATTTTATGGATTTGTTCAAAGATAAGAGATGATGAGATAAATGTTTGCAACCTTAGAGGTGGTGAAGAGTCATTAAACTTGTTTATACTTGTGATTAATTTTGGAGTCATTTCTTTATATATTTCTTTTCTCTTTTTTCTTAGATTCTTATTTTTTTCTTCTTTTTTCTTTTGCTTTTCTTCCCCTTGCACTTTTTACTCCTCTCTATTCTCTTTCCCTTTAATTTTGATGCTTACACTACACCAATATTTAATACCTTATGCTAATATTTAATGAGATTTATTATTTCTGGGTGTTTCATTATGAAAATTGCTCTAAAAATGGGAGGAAAATGAGTACATGATTTGTTTGTCATTATTGTAATCCAATAATAATTGTGGTCTAGCACAAAACAGTTTTGTGTTTTTAGTGTTTTAGTCCAGGCCAGGGGTGTCAAATTCGATTTCACTGGAGGGCCATATCACGATTGTGTTTGACCTCGGGGGGCCGGAGGGGCGTGGCCAGCTCAACATTGCTCGTGTTGGGGTGATGAGCTCTGTTTTTGCCAACAGAAGGTTGCAGGAGGCTGTCGCAGCCAAAAATGGAGCTCAGGAGGGCCGGATGCGGCCTGCCGGCCTTGAGTTTGACACCCCTAGACCAGGCATTTTCATTTTGCTCTTAACTACAGAGCATTTATGTCAGCTGCACTGTAATTGTATTGATGAACAGTTCCTTGTTATCATTGTGGAAAGAGCTGTCGTCATCAGTAACTAGGTGGTTGCTACTCTGGGAATGTAGGAGTATTGCTGGCACAGATGCTTTATCAGCTTGTTAAGTACATAGCAGATTGTTGCTGTTATTTATTAATCCTGTTTTTTTTCAAGTATTTTATCCTTCTGGAAGAAGAGAGTTTGAAAAGACCATTGCTAATAGGTATTTAAAAAATTTAAAGTACCTTTAGCTATTACAGTATTTTTGAGTATTTTTTTTACAGAAAAAAATTGGTATGCAGTTCACTGTAGCTGTTTCTTGTTTGTATAAAAAATAATAATAACCGTAGCTGTACCTGGGAAAAAGATACAGTCATTTACCTATAATACTTTTTCTTTGAATCCCAGAAGTTCAGTACTGTTATGTTTAGGTACCTACTTAATATTTCTTCTTCTTAAACAGGAGATGCACCGTCGTTTTGAAAATGCTCCCGATTCTGCCAAAACTAAAGCTTTACAGACTGTTATAGAAATGAAGGTAAAAGTTCTTTTTTTATTTTTTTGAATTTTCATCCTGACGTGTTGTACAATACACTGATTCCTTTTTAGCATTTTTGCTATTGTCAGGAGAATTTGAGTATTGTTTTATAAATGTGCCGGACTATTTATATGTGGTTTATGTTACGTATGTGAAATGAATGCATGTCTATTTTATCTACTTGCTGTCATACTTGCTGTCATACTTGCTGTCATAAATTTTTAATGCATGTTTATTTTGTTATATATTCTAGTAATTGTGGGTTTCATAGGCAGGTTTTTTTTTCCTGAAACAAGAAAAATTATTACAGAAAAAATTAAGAAATAGTGCATCTTTTTCTAGATGTATTACATCTTTTTCTGTGTTATAGAAATTTGTAAATGTTTTTCTGTTGAAGGACTTTTTCTTATTTGCCTCCCAAGTTCTCAGTGTATTCCCAGTGTTATTTCTGGATTCAAAGTGCCAGTTTCTATTAGCGTATCTCTGTTTTCTGTTTAAATTGCAGATGTCTGTGGAGATTTTCAGTCATCTAGGTCATGGTTGTCCCAAAGGTATTTTTTTAAGGTAACTTTCTTGTTTTTCCCTTGAAGATGTTTCACTTCTCATCCAAGAAGCTTCTTCAGTTCTGCTGAATGGCAGAGAATCTTTCCATTCTCCACCATTCAGATGGAACTGAAGAAGCTTCTTGGCTGAGAAGCGGAATATCTTCAAGGAAAAAACCAAAAAAGTCCATTTGCCCTTTGAAAAAGCATCTTGGAGCTAAATTGTATATGCACAATTAATAACTGCTATAGTTAAATATTATGTATAGCAGTGCTGCAGGGAGATGTTTATCAGACATAGTCCTTCAACTCAAATGTTGTTAGCAAAATATCAGCATTTTTTGAGAAAACTAAACCATTGTTCCATGTATTTGAAGGATTCTAAAATTTCTTCTATGGAACGTGGACTCCGAGATTTGGAAGAAGAAATCCAAATGTTGAAGTCAAATGGTGCACTCAGCACAGAGGAACGTGAAGAAGAAATTAAACAAATGGAGGTGTATCGTAGCCATTCCAAATTTATGAAAAACAAGGTAATAACTAAACAGTGTATGTTAAAGAATAGCTTACAATTCTCCAAAAAACTAATTCATTCATTGAATCACAGAACAGATAAAGGATTGGTGATCTGTCTTCTCTACTAGAGTTCCTTCAAATTAAATGAAAATACTTAAGCAAAACTGCAAATCTTATATTACTGTAATCTAAGATTGGTGAACCAAATTGCATTTAAGATGTAGAAACCAATTTAGGAAAATGGAATTGCATCAACACAATTAAATAAAACTGTGTATCGTTCATGCTCTGGTAAAATACTCAAGGGACTTTTCTTGCATAAATTAATGTAAACAGCTGTCCATGATATAACGAAGTGTCTTGGAGAAAATGACGACTTTGACCTTTAAGACACATAAAGGTGGGAGATCTCAAAAGTTTACAAGTGGTCATGCTTTAATGTCAGAGAAAAAGGGCTTTCTTTTAAAATTCTGAAATTGGAGTCTGCATTATAAATTGTTAATTATTATTATTATTATTATTATTATTATTATTATTATTATTATTAT